AAAGCTCATGGTTATAAATTCCTAGCTCTCATTTTCATCACCGTCCTAAAGATACTTTCTGCCCATGGGCATTACAGAGCCCTCTCCACCTGGGCCGTCTGCCGCACATCCTGCTTTCTCTCTCTAGTGTATCCAGCTTCAAAGGCTCACGGGTAATTGTTCAAGTAAAGTTTGTGTTCAATGCTGTGCTAGTCCCCACATGGGGACTCACTGAATTACAGCTAGAGGTATGAAAATATGAAAAGGCCTGTGAGGAAATGAATGGGCACCAAAATATTTTAGCATTCAATCCAATCTTAATAAATATATTTCTCTGAAATTATTTGAGTCTATTCAAATGTCCCCTTCCCAGAGAATTCTTCCCTAAAAACCTAATAAGTGTGATAGTCACTCTTTACCTGTTTACCCTGATTTGTTTTTCATAGCAATAGATATTTTTAATACATGCAATAATTTGTCTGTTATTTGATTCTCTCAGTAGAATATAAACTCTAAAAGGACAGAAAGCTCTTGTATTATTCTTGTATCTTGAATCTCTGTGCCTAGAAAAGTGCTTAGAAAATACCTTTGGCCTTCAATGAGTATTTACTGGATGAATAAAAGAAGGAATGAAATACAAATTTCAGATTAAATTGATAATCTTTAGTATTATGTCCTGCTTACTTCGGTACACTTTGGATGATTTCTTCAATGATTATAGCTTCCACTTGAGGTTCAAAATGCCAAAATAACAGAGATGTACTCAAGGAAGACTGTGCTTATTTACGTGAATGCTTATATGATTGTTGCACTATGGAAAAATATTTGTTGGCTAATTTTACATATTTCATTTAAACTGGATATTCTATAACTGCTTGACTATTATACAGCTGTCAGAACCAAAAAAATGATGCTTCTATCATCAAAAATATCTCTCCTAGTTAGGCTTGATATTAATTTTTAAAAATTGGTTATGTTCAATTTAGAGATTTTTTCCTTTCACAGCTTAATTCAGATCAGAAAAATTAAAGAGTTTATTTAGCTAATTATAGTAAATATTTCAGGCAATTGCAGTTCATTTGGATTACCTAGTCTCAGCAACTCAGATCTGTAGGGTTCTAGATATAATTGATAAATAATATCCATAGACTAGAATGATTCTGGTTGACTATGATGGGAGAAAGTTATTTATAGCATGGATTAAGTGTCAGAATACTTCTAGATCATTCCACATATTTCTGGCTAAATTGCTTTTGGGCTCTGACCAAATGATAATTCTTGCTTATTGAAGATTGATCAATGCATCACTGCTAGTATTCCTGAAGTAAAGCACCTCAAAAATATTTAGTTTTCATGAATAATTATGCATGATTCATAAGAAAAAGTATCTGAAATATGCAAATATGGCAAAATATCTGTGGAAGTCTCTGTAAGTAATGCATATTTATTTGCAATCTTTATGTTTCTATTGAGAATTTTTATAAAAGTTGGCCTTTCAAGACATAAAGAATTCCTCTATGATTTCAGAGTAGGAAAACATTCAGAAGGCAGAATAAATGTTACTGCATTGAAAATTAAATCATATTCCATTGGTACACATGGGAATGTTGAAAAGAGAAGTCTGGAATGAAAGAAAACTTTTGTAACATATTTAACTGGCTGAAGATCAGTCTCTACAATATAAAAATATCTATGGCAAACTAACTAGGAAAAAATAGTAAATGAAATGGTGATAACATTTGAAAAATATGTGACAGATGATCTTCAGTTCATCCTTGTGTTTCCTAGACATAATGTGTTCTGTGTATACCATGATATGAAGAATTGTAACAAATTACTGCTCTGGGGAAACTCAAGCACATGTGCACAAAACGAGATGCACAAAAAGTTCAGTTGCATATTGCTTGTAATGACAAAAATGGAAATAGCTTAGATATACATCAAAAGGAAGGCAATAGTCATACAACTGACTGCTGGACAAGTTGAAATGATTGCATCTGAAAAAAATGTACCAGTTCTAAATCTCAGACGTGTTTCTCAATATCATTTATAAAGCTAGAAAGTGCAATGAATACCATATATTGGTTATTATGGATATTCACAGAGACACAAAATAAATAATATCATGGAAATGAAAATCACCAAATTAAAGATGAAGCTTATCACCAAGGAGAGAGTGAGGTGATTGAGATGGCAGGTTATGAAAGAGTCTAATTCAATCATAATGGAAGGTTTACAAAAATAAGCAAATGTTGTATTTTTTTCCAGTCAGCCTCTCTCTGCTTTAAAGCTGAAAATGTAACTTAGAGCATATTTCACCCGCCTTTTGTGAGGGAAAAACACCTCAGAACTTAGTGGCTAAAAACAGCTTGGTATTTCTCACCATTCTGTGTGCTGTCTGCATGCTTCTCCTGCCAGTCCTGCCTGGGCTGGTTATGAGGCTGCAGTCACTCAGGAGCTCTGCTGGGGTGCAGACTTCCAAAGTGATGTCACTCTTTTGTCAGGTGACCTGGGGCTGGCCACTGGCTGGGGTGCTGCTCTTCTCCCAGGGTCTCTCATCCGCTGGTAGGTTACACTGGCTTCTTTACAATCTCAGAAAACTGGAAGTGGCAGCTGTAAGGCATCCTGATGCTACTACTCCAGAATCTTTTTAAGAACACTCCCATTACATTTTCTTGGTCAACAGGTAGCAGTTCCAGCTTAATGGAGCCGTAACTATGTTCACTAGTGGAACCCTCAGTCCTCTAACCTTTCAGAGCTCATGGTTTCATCTGGGGAAGCAGAGATACAGCTGGTGGAGCATTAAGGAAAACAGGGAGAAGAGCCACTTCCGTTTCCAACCTGGACGCATAAATTCTGGGTCCTGCAAATTATTGGAGAAACAACAAAACAGACAGGTTTCAGATTTAGGGAAGATTAAACATTCTGGATGGATTATTCCATTTCTCTAAAGTACTGCCAACAGGGCTTGTCCCACGACTAGGGTTTTAAAAGCCAATGTTCCAGGCACACTTTCTGAATTTCTGAATACTGAATGGATGCTCCTTCACCACTGCTTTTCAGGAGTACCCGGGGCAGGATGGAAGTGCTACAAGCATCTACTGCTGTGTGGTGCCAGCATATTGTGCAAATATGCTTTTTGCCATATTCGGGTTATCATAGGGCACACCTCATGAGGCTACAAGCTCAGGCATTGAAGGAGAAACCTATGCAAGCGTATGGACCATGGTGCATGGACATCTGGGTCACGTGCTCATGCAACTTACTTCTGTCTTCAGGAACAAGTGGGGTTGCCTGATGGGCATGCTAGTGTTATGCACTGGTGACATAGGCAAACCCAGTTCATGATGGGAAGTGTAGCTTGCATAGTAACTTGAAGCTGACTTTTAATCATTCAGTTTCTACTTGGGTCCATCAAAGAGTCAAAAGCTGTTTCTCAAAGGTGAATAGTTACCTTTAGAAGAAGTTATCACCTTGCTTAAAATCCTGTAAGTCTGACCTCTAATTCATTATATGGATTTATCCTACATTCTGAATAGTCCTTATCTGAAAATATACTTCAAGGATGGTCATATCTGCTGGGTCATATGGCCCAATAGCACGGCAGCTGGCATGGCAGATTAGTCTTGTTTTGTCTTCTTTTGGGATCCACTCAAAATGGACAACCTTTTGGGTAGCTTTATAAATGGGTTGGAAGAACTTGACTGAAATTATACATTGTCACAAAATCAAAAGAGGCTCATCGAATTTTGGTGTAGATGAGGCAGGATTTGAGAAATATTGCCTTACTTTGGTTTTATTTTAGTTCTATTAATTCCGGAGGGCATTTTAATTATGTGCAAACAAAGCATGGTTAGTCAGTTCCAAATTGCAGTTTTTCTGTGTAATTTCAAGGAAATTTCAGTCATTAAAAATCGTACGAGAGACTGTTTGCTTTAATTATGTGTTTTGATGCTTGTGAAGAACAAGTTGCTAGTGATTCTCTAGAGTTTGAGTCCCCAGGGGTACAGAGTTGGATGTAAAAGCTGGTGCCCCAGTTACACTCAGCTTACAGAGAAACAGGGGGTAATATCCTGTTTCTCTGTAGCAGGTAAGTTTACTTAGGTTTTCTATGAAACTGTGAAAACACTATTTTCCTGATATGGTAACTGGGACCTTCTTTTAGTTTTATTTTTATGTTAAGTTACTGTAAATGCTTTCCAATTCTGATTACAATAACATTAAAGAAAGTAGTTAACATTTATGGAAGTATTTGGCTTCAGGTCCATTGACAACCATTTCACAAAGAATAGAATAAACTTAGCACCTAGAAATGGATATTTATCCATATCCTCTTTACATACACTAAATTGGCATATAAGCTTTCACAAGAATGAAAATGTGTTAGTTCTGAGAGAACTGTTACCTGATGAATGTGAGACCCTTAAGAGATCCCTATAGAGTGTCTGGGCTAAAAGAGAGGCTCACCCTTAGGTACAAACCCTACTGAAGTGTACGCTCCACTCAAGTCCAAAGGGGCCATTGCTCTCCCCAACCCCTCAGCAGGTTAACTATTCAATGAGAGAAGTAGACTTAACTGAACAAAAGGCATTGAAATAGCATTGCTATGCTCTTTTCCTACATTTCTCCAACATATTACTTTATCCTTAAAATAGAAATATATCCTCTTGAGGTTTTTACTTGATTCGTGCACACAGCCATAAAAACAGCAGCAATATACATTCGTCTTTGAGGCAAACATTGCACATTTTTTTCAGACTCTTTCACTGGTTTATGCATTTTTGTGCAAACATTTTCTATCAGTTATGCTACTAGCTAATGTGTGGATGTACATGCTGCAATATAATTCCCTCTTATGGAAACACGTATTACAATGGAAGTGCGGAGACGTTTAAGAGGCTCAGCTTGGATTGGTATATCCATAGCAGTTATCTGCCTGAGGCATTTTCTAAATAGAAGAAACTAGGACCAGTAACATTTCTCTTTAATTTTATTATTTTTTTGTTCTACCTTAGAAAGTCATGCCATGGCTGTTGCTCACCTCTGCAAATCTCTTTGGCAGGAGCAGCCTTCTCCCCGGACCCCCTCCTTTCAGAGGCATTGTAGTGATGGCTGCAAGAAATCTGAGTGTGGAGACAAGCTTTGCTCTCTTGGGTTTCACAGATTACCCATGGCTTCAGATTCCTCTCTTCCTAGTGTTTCTGATGATGTACATTATCACTGTGGCAGGAAATCTTGGCATGATAGTAATCATCAAGATTAACCCCAAATTTCACACTCCCATGTACTTTTTCCTTAGCCACCTTTCTTTTGTTGATTTTTGTTACTCTTCTATCATTACTCCCAAGCTGCTTGAGAATTTGGTCATGGCTGATAAAAGCATCTTCTACTTCAGCTGCATGTTGCAGTACTTCCTGTCCTGCACGGCTGTAGTGACTGAGTCCTTCTTGCTGGCGGTGATGGCCTATGATCGCTTTGTGGCCATCTGTAACCCTCTGCTTTATACAGTGGCCATGTCACAGAGGCTCTGTGCCCTGCTGGTGTCTGGGTCATACCTCTGGGGTATGTTTGGCCCTTTGGTACTCCTTTTCTGGGCTCTTCAACTGAACTTCTCTGGACGGAACATAATCAACCACTTTTTCTGTGAATATACGGCTCTCATTGCTGTCTCAAGCTCTGACACACGCATTCCCCATCTGCTGCTCTTTAGCTTTGCCACCTTCAACGAGGTGAGCACACTGCTGATCATCCTCACTTCATACATTTTTATTTTTGTGACTGTACTAAACATCCGTTCTGCCAGTGGGCGTCACAAAGCCTTCTCCACCTGTGCCTCCCACCTGACGGCCATCACCATCTTCCATGGGACCATTCTTTCCCTCTACTGTGTGCCCAACTCCAAAAACTCTCGGCAAACTGTCAAAGTGGCCTCTGTATTTTACACAGTGGTCAACCCCATGCTGAACCCTCTGATCTACAGCCTGAGGAATAAAGATGTGAAGGATGCCTTCCGGGAATTAATAGACACAAAAGTCCCATTTCGGGGGACCCATTTCAAAAGATGTGTTTGATTCCAATGAACCATGGAACAGTCTTCCAAAACCTATAACATACATTTGCATGAGATTTTTATATGTTGTGGGTAAGCTCACATCTCTTGAATATGCAAATACATTAAATCTAGGATGGATTCCACAGAATTTTGAATCATAACGCATCTAGTTCTTCAAATTCTCTGAAAACAAACACAGAAAATACTACAAAGCTCAATAGCTGATTCGAATTGGGGAATCAGGTTACTGAGAGGATGATGATAACTCACTTTGACAAGGCCTTTCTTGCTTTTATGACAATGAATGACCTGCCTTTAAATTTGTGTTGTCTGCCACTGAAGCGTTGTAGCTTTGTTGGGAGATACCCATGGATCTTCTCTGTGATGAAAGGGGGGATGAGTCTTTTCTGGCAACTTCATTCCGTGGGTTCTGTGAATTCTATGAATGGACAGTCTTGCACTTTAAATAGTCAGCTTATGTTAGAAGTTCAGAGGGCAAGTTATAACTATTGTGCAGATAATGACATGGAATTTCAGTAAACTAATTTAGATGTGACTGAAATGGTTGCTTTAAAACAGGAACTCAACTCTGTTAACTCTGAATCTGGTGTTTTTTTGCTGGAGTACCTCTGTAGCTATTATTCTGAGGGGTGACAGAAAAGTAGTCCATCTCCATATCAATATGTAATTACAAGGGAGAGCAAGGGTATATTCAGACCGGAGAGGTTGGGTGGGGTCCCTTTTTGTAGCTGGGCGTCAGGAGAAGTGGATGACTGCTTATAAGGAATAAATGGGTTTCTCCCACTTCATTTCTCCCTGCAACTGACTTCAGTTTCAAAGGTAACTTGCCCTAAGCTGGGAACATATTTTCCCCCTGGAGTTACAGTTAGATTGTCCAGGAAAATCACTGGGGTCATTCAAGTGTAAAATTGCTAGATGGCTACATTCCCAATATTGTCAGGTCCAAAAATCACTACAAGTATTATCTTATCTAGTTCATATGTATTAGGACTAGTATGGATGTAGTATACATTTTATCTGTGTATACTAAGGAATCATATTCAAAATTTCCATTCTAATGTTTATTTGAGTGACTAAACAAGCACAAATATTTAGTGGAAAATACATTAAAAATTAGAACAAATTATAATTGGAAGGTTAACTCTACAAACTTAAAAAAAATTAAAGTTTTTGTTAGAACAGTGTCATATTGGGATAAAGAGGTAGCCATGGGAGAAGAAGATAAAAGCAGATCTCTCCCTTAATTTCACACACCAAAAGAGAATTCTAAAAGCAAGCTTAAAACTTGGGTTACATGAATATACAAAACTTCTTGGAAAAATAACTGAAAAGAAATTAAAATGACAAAGAGCTAAGAAAAAGTCACCATTTATATCACCTAGTGTAGAAAATGACAATGCTTTAGAAAAATAGGCATCAGTCCATATGTAATCAGTCCATATAAAAGGAATACAAACAGCCTTGATTACAAAGAGTTGTTCTAATGATATGCAAATGAAATCTGCCTTCAGCCATCATTTCTCACCTATGATAATGGCAGAAATCCAAAAGTTTCCAAAAGGTGAATGAGTGAATCTGCAGGAAACAGACATTTTCATACATTCAGGACAAGAAGATAACATGGTACGTGTGATTTGAAGTGCTAGCAACATTACATATGTATTTATCGTCTTTCGAATCACTCACAGTTCTATGAATCAATCCCAAAGTTAGAACAGCAAAAAATATATAGATGACATAGTCAAAGGCATTGCTTGTCATAACAACAGACTGGATGAAATCCAAGTGTTTATTTTATGGACAGATGCACTTTTTACAAACTACTATTAATGACTTAGTTCTTTCAATAAGTGGATTGATAGAGAAATATGCTATCCTACAAATATAATAATATTTTAAATGGCTTGAATTTATAGACTTGGAAATCAGGAATTTACTGTCTCTAAAATGTCCCAATCCCTCAGGACAAAGATCACTCCCCATAGTGTTTCCAGGCTGTACAAATGACTCTTGGCCAAAAATAAATTGGGGCAGGAAAAAATCAATGTAGCAGACACTACTTGTAGTTATTTGTCTTGAGGCTGGTAGCGTTGGCTGAAGTACTTTTTGTTTCCTTGGATATCTTCAAAAAAACATGAAGATTTTAAAATTTTACCAATAAAACTTTTTTAGTTTTATCATTCCAGATTATTTCTGCAGACCTGGAAATCACTTAATGAAAATGTACTGCAAAAGTACACTAGTAACATCAACCCTACTTCATTATTGTTCTAAAGAATACCAATATAGTGACACAAATGCACTTCAAAGGACACCCATAGATACACCCAGGTAGGCTTCCTTCTTTTTCTTTATGTCATAAAGAATGTCATCCTGAAATATCCAAGTTATGTTTTTGCAAAAGGGACTTAGAAAGTACAGAATATCACCACAAACTGCAAAATTGTTGAGATGCATGAAAAAGTTGTGTATTTGAAAACACATTGTATTTATTGTTCCTTTTGCCCCAAACTTCACACTTTTCTCAGTTATTTGCATAATTTGCTCACTCACTTCATAACGGTCCAGGCTCAAATAGTACCTTACTGTGGTCTTGTCTGACCTCCCTATTTAAAATGACATTTTCAATATTACATATATTTTAACATTTACAATTACTAGAAAATGATTACATGTTTATTTGCATTTTATAATCCCCAGCAAATTGAAATTTGTTGACAAAGGGGTATTGTTTCTCTTCCCCCAATGCCAAAGATACGACCTTTCTCAGAGTAAACTCCTCATATTTTTGGTACGCTTTGCTCTACTCCCAGTTCCTTGGAAGGTCATGTTTATCTTTCAATATGTTCATGACATGACGTGCGCGGGTCAGGAAGTATGGATCCTCAGGGCCATGGAGTAATGAACTTAACACCCATATGGTTGCACAAATCACATTATTTTGCAATTTCCTCTCACACAACACTCAAAGGGGGGTTTAAGTATATCTAAAAATCGCACATATCACGGATCAATACATCTCATACCGGTCACGATGGATGGTTTGGGTCCAGGCTGTTCCAGTCAGCCTCTCATCTGTCCCAAGGGAAAACGATGCAGCAGAGTCAGCTCCAGTGGAGTGGTGCGTCCGTGACGGAGCAGGAGCGCAGGCAGATGAGCAGCAGCAAGCTTCGGAGCACACGTCTGTGCTCCACTATCAGGGACTTCTGGGACGAGCTTGCCACGGGGGCTCTGTGTCCAGGCCCTCACATAGTCCAGTCCATCCATTCAGGGATCAAAGTTAGAACAGCAAAATATATAGGGTGGGGTATGTTTACAGAAGCAGTCAGCGCAAAAGCAGGCAAGCCTGACATAAGCAACTCCATGTTGGAGAACTGACATAAGCAACTCCGTAGAGGATGCTCAGATCATGACATACTTACAGTATGCTTGCTAGTCACTGATCTAGAAGCTAGCATGGAATACATCAGTAAACCAAGCAATGAGAAACATCTCTGCTTTCCTGGAACTTTTATTTTAGCAAGGAGAGACAATAAATAAATGCAATAAATGATGGTTAAAAATATATTTGAATCCTGCTAAGTACCTTAAACACTAAATTGGGTAGTAGGGTAGCCCCTACACTATGACACAAAATTTCAAAAGGTGCATTTGAAGGAAAACTTAAGGGAAAGCATCCTAGTGCAGAGTGAACAATATGTTTAGAGCAGACGATGGGAGGAAGAGGGTTATGCTTAGGATATAGTAGTCAGTCAATTAATATTTGATAATCATGACTTTTATAATGACAATCTTTTTGATAATTGTAGAAAGGTATAGGAATGAACAGGAAGGAAATGACTTTAAGGTATACGTTTTCATATGAAAAGCCCCTAATGCTGCTCCAGGTTTCCTAGTGCACAAGAGTTATATCAGAGAAAGATGATTAATTTTAATTGTTTACTTAATAACCTGAAGAGAAAGGGGCAATAGTTTGTCTCCAGGGTTCATGTCCCAAGGGGTGTGACTGTAGATATAAGAATATAATGCATCACTGCCAACCAGGAGAGGTCCTACCTTTGCCAGCCACAGGTTTGTCCTATGGTTCTAAAGACAGTTAGAAATTAATTTCAATACAGAGTATCTGAAAAACAAGGTGGGAGAGCAGAACTTATCCTTTCGGTCTGGACAGGTATTGAGAAATATTTATTCAATGCAAAAGTGACATATCTAAACGTGTAGGGAAGAGAAAGTGAGCTTACTCTACGGAGCGCTGTCTTAGAGGGCCTGGCTCAGTTGGGCTCCTAACAACTCCCTGAACAACAGGTACCTGGGCTGAGACAACAGAAGGGTTCTGAGAACTTTGGAAATGGGTATTGTCTTGCCTCTGTGAGTTTTTGGAGGAACAGTCAACGTAGCATAGACAGGTATTTAAATAAGGTGAAATAAACAGATTGAAAAGATTTTAGTGAAAAAAAAATAAAAAGGACCCCTTTACTTTAAATAAGATATTAAAGCTGGAAATACACGTGTCCCTGAGAGCAAAAATTACAACAAAATGGGGAAAAATATAGGCAAGAAGATTTCAGCTGATACATTTCCTGGACCATATCTTTTATAGATAGATATGTATTTTTTTTTTACCAGCAATTTAATAACAGCATTTGGGACACAAGCACCAATACATTAACTATAACATTAGTTTAAAATAAATTCTCAAATGCCTTAGATTAATTAAACATTGTATTAAGGAAAAATGTGATAATTAGAATGGTTAGCTTTGGGTGGATTGTAAGACTTGAGGTTGTCTGTAAGACTCAGATTTATGAGCGTAGGAACAGACAGGGCCACTGAGTGACTCAGTCTCCCATATGATCTGACATCTTTAATGATGGGCCATCTGAAACTGTTTCTTGGGTTGTGAGGTCAGAGATAACCTTAACAGAGAAATTTTAGAGGAAGAGTTCCTGGTATGGTAGGATCTTAGAGACTGGGCACCAATGAGAGAAATAAGATGAA